CAACCTGCGGCCTCTGTGTGTGGCTCCCCGGACAGCTAACACCATGGACCCGCCGGCTCCTGCCAGGATTGGGCTGGTAAATGCTAGGTCACTAGCAAACAAAACGTTTATCCTGAAGGATTTCCTGACTTCCTGAGGATTGGATTTTCTCTGTGTGACTGAGACATGGCTGACTGTTGGTGTGTCCAGTGCTTTCACAGAACTTTTACCTGATGATTGCTGCTATTTTAACTCCCCGCGGACGTCAGGTCAAGGAGGAGGAATAGCGACTATTTATAAGACTCACTATAAATGTAAGCAGCTAGGTAAGATGACATGTGCCGTCTGAGTACCTTAAATGGTTTTGTCCTGGAAGCGACCTGGTGCGGACCCGGAGACAGGTTCCTAAAGGTATGGATATACACTATATAGAAATAGCTTATCTTCACACCAATGGTCCTATTTGCTGTTGTACGTCACGCACAGACATCAGCAGAAACGACTGCTTTTGCATATCCAGTTAAAAGTTCCTTGTAGCGGCTTTCAAGACCTGCAGGCACCCTGTGAGCACAGTGAGTCAGTAGTACAGATCTGAGGGTGATTTACCAGCATTACTGGGACCGCCTCGCTCTTCCAGACGGCGTGACAGTTCATCCTTGAAGGCCCGGTTTCTGTGTCTGCGCCCAGCAGCAAGGCCACAGATTGGCCGGTCAACCGGTCGTGCCACCTCCACCTCCTGGGTCATCTCTGCAAAGCGCATCACCAGCTGCAGCACACACAGTGGAATACCATTAGAAATACACTCCCTGATTTGTAGAAGCGCAACTGTGAAATTTGTTGAGTTTCAAAGTGTCAGCACTAGTCTTGGAGGAAATTAGGGGGACACTGCTGGGCAAAGCAACAAAACCAGGGTTAGTGTTTTGATGGCAAACCAGCCAGCAACTGCTATAATAGTTCAGCCATGCAAAGGATGACATGATTTTCCTCTGGGAAATCAAATGAGATTAAAGAGACAAGATTTTATTATTCAAGCCATTTTGCAACACAAATACAATATCTTACCATGGTTTCGTCGTAATCATCAGCCTTTGGGTTGACACACACGATCATCCTGACTTTCCCTTCTCCATCAAAGTAGTTTTTAAACAGATGTGTAACTTTAGAGTCCCTGTAAGGCACCATCTGGAAGAAAATAGAGGCTCTGTGAAAGTGCACTTACTGGAACATTACCAATGCTAACAACAAAGATGAATAACAGGACTCTAGTAATTAAACAGAAATGGTTAAATCAAATGATGAAACAATGATGAAAAGGTCATGAAATACAAACCTTATTAGTTCCACACATCTGGTTTTCACGCAGGACCTCCATGCATGTGCGCAGTGTCATCAAGGACTGGTTAATATTGCCTGTAAATGAGACATTACTAGAGACATTTGGTGTCTGCACACTGAATTAAAAATTTAAAAAAAGCAAATGCCTCGGGTTGATTTAAGACAGAAGCCCACAGAAACCTGACCTGCTTCACGGAGGCGGTTTCCTTCTGCTCTGGTTCTGCTGGTGCGCTCGCTGCCTGCCAGGTCAACCAGACACAGCTGACTCACATTCACCTGGTTTTTATCCTGCAATTTATTAACAAGCTGTTAGCGACACCAAACATTGGCTGGGAACCTTTGTAACACATGAGGTGTATTTATTTGGGCTGCTATGTGTCACAACCTTTCTATCTTAAATTAAATATCAGAAATGATTCCCCTGCTTTCTTTGCATAATCATTCATCATTAAAAGAAACAGATAAGCCATTTAAACATTAAAAAAAACAACAACATGTAACTCTGGAGCTGCATATCACCTGTAGAATGTGGTCACCATCAGCGTCCAGTGGTGCCTGGGCCAACTTTACTGTGAACACACTGTGGGAACGACTGGATTCACGGTTCAGTTCAGTGTTGGCTATCCTCCTTTTCTTTTGCCCTGGAGACACAGCAGAGCAACTTTAATACAGTATGACATTAACAACAACCGTAACAGTAGAGTTCACCATCACTGAACGTTGCAAAATGGCACATTTCAAGTAGTTGCCTGTTTCAACTTGTGTCCTTGTGAATTTTTGGTCTGAACTGGGCTTTAAGTATTTAAGAAGAACGTTTTTTAACCACTCACCCTTCCAAAAGACTTCAAAAGCCTCCTCTGTAGATTTGACCTCAACTTCTGTGCAGCCAGCCACGTACATGTTATGATTCTGATCTTCACGGAGAATCTTAGATTGAGGCACTCTGAAACAAGTTAATGAAAGAATCAACATAATGTCATAACATAATCATGTGTCGCTTTAGTAAGACAAGCAGCAAACGCTACAAAGACACATACTTGATATTAGTGTCAACGCTAAAATAAAATACAGTCTAGGGAGATACAGGCACATTCAGGGGCACAGACACATGCACATAAAGCTTGAGCCATACAGGGACGTTATGTGTCTCCATACTGACAGTAACAGCAGGAAGCCAATCCTTTAAGCCATCAACATGACACAGAGCTAGAAAGGTACTCCTATGCTATGGACAGGGCTTTGGATTAATGGGATGGAAATGCACTGACGGCCTATGAGACAGCAGCTACAGCCAAGTTATGACTATGAATAAACAGAGTACTGCGTCATGTTCTTTCACTGGCCACATACATGAACTCATTGTTCCGTACAGGCGTGCCTCCACCCAGCCACCTAACAAAAACAAGATTTTTAAAAGTGCGTCTTGTCAACACAAAAAAATGTCTAAATGAACTTATTCAGCACATACAGTCAAAGTGTTTGTAATGCAGAAATGCATGGTTGCACCTCTACTAGAAAAACCATTTGTAGTGCACATTAGTAGCATGTAACTGTGTGGTTACAGTGGGTGTAACAAACTTTATGGACAGAGCCATCTCATACATGAAAAGCACCACAAATTATTGAGGTTATTAAATGAAGGTTGGGACATGCTCCTTGACCCCACCCCAGTGTGGCAGCAATTGAGTCATTTGGTATGTAGACCGGACTCTACTGCACATGTGTTGTACCCCAGTGATTTGATGCAATATAACACTGTCCCAGCCGTCATTAAACAGCCTTGCAAAAAACCTGGATACAAATAGGCTTTACACAGACCACCCTTCAACTTGACATTGTGTTTCAAAGAGCATACAAGGATGTGAAAAGCTGTCTCTTACTTTGGTCTGATTGGGTCAAATGGAGCATCTTCAAGGAGATCATAGATGTAGTTGTTGTAGATCTCAATGTAGGACACAAAAACGCTGTAACAGCAGTCTTCATCCACATTCTCAGATTTACATGCCTCCTCTGTGCTGATCATATCTGCAAACTCTGGGTCCGGCCTCTGCCTAATAGAATGAACCGGAAGAAAAGCAACGCCTTTATCAGCAGTCAACATGTACTTTAAATACAATTCTCTCTAAATGTATCAATGTATGTATCATAGCTACCTGGAGGACGGCGTTTTGGGCACAGACTGCTGACTGTCTCGCTTCTGTCTCTCCAGGAGAGCATCAACTTGATCCTGGATCTCCATCCCATTTTTTTCATCTGGCTTAAACACCTGATGCAGATTTGAGACAAATCAAGTCAATGTCCGACCACTCTTCAGACACGTAATACATTTTTTTTTTTTTTAGAAACCAACAACAACACTAAAGAATGAAAGTCTTACAAATCTTTTGGCCTGAAAGGGGCCGATGCTGTTGAAGAGCATATCCAGAGAACGAGGGAGGAGTCCACCTTCCCCAGGTGAGCCGGTCATGGTGAAGGTCTTACCACTTCCAGTAACACCATATGTAAATAGCAGTCCTATAAAACACAGAATATCACAATTACATAACCACTTTTACACAGAGGATTAGGGCTGATGCTGATGGTATATTATGTAAAAACTTTATGTGTGAGAGTATGTATTAACTGGACAACAATACTAATCCCAATCAGACTTCAAAGATTAATCAATTATCTTTTCTTAAAACTAATTTTCTGTTGACAAACTAATCCTTTTCAGCACTAGAGAGGACACAAAGACAATTTATGTTTATGAACAGTAAAAATCATACATGTCATGTCTCAAAAAAACCCTTAGATTCACTTACCATTCTTACAATGAATAAGGTCCTCTATCAGGGGCTTGGCAACATCCTCAAACAGCTCCATTTGAGTGGTATTAATACCAAATACTTTTTTAAAGGAGTACTGTGTCTAAAGGATGAACAGAAACAAAACATACAGTACATGTAGATCATAATGGATTAAACCAAATAGTGTCTAAGAGGGTCTCAGGTCTCTGAATGCAACTATGACCAAACCACAAAAAAAAACAAAAAAAAAAAAAACAAATATCCAACCAAATCACTGACTTAATAAAAAGCATTATTGTCATGTGACAATGTGTAACTAAGTACAAATCAGATACTTGTTGAGGTCAGTTGAAATGTATCACTGGTGGTGTCAGATTATATCAGGACGGATCAAAAGCAAGTATAGATGATCAATTTGTTTTACATGCTCACGTGAGTCGCCAAGCAGAGAGGCCTGCAACACACTTACCTCTTTGTATTCTCCATTGCGGTTGGCTTTGAGGCCATCAGGAGCATGTAGCTGGATAGTGGAGCTGCTGATCATCTCAACACAACATTCCTCATCTTCTGCTCCAAGTGGACGTATACGGCAGTATACCTATGAAGATGAATGAATAGATGAGGCCTGCTGTGGAGAGGCTATCACAGCTGAGAGATCTAATTTCAGAAAAACGTAATTTGAATGGTCTTGAAGACTTCATTAGCCTATGATGTCAGTCATAACTTCCGTGTTGTATGTTTTTGTAATCACAAGATTAGCACAATGTTAATTAAGTTTAAGATTAGTTTTTCTGTCATTTCTGTGTGACTGTGTGATATTGTTTCAGTTTCAGTAGTTACAAAGTTAACAGTGTTCACTTACTCCCACAGGATCTTTGTCTATGTTGGATGCCTTTTTGGGGCCAGGCCTCCGAGGAGTCTTCCCTTTGCTATAAGTGAAAATAAGAATTACACAATGTCTAACACAGAAAAAAATGCATGCTATATTCCATCTTATTAGACACATGACTTATGTGGTGTGGCAGTTGCTCAGTCCACAGGGACTTGGTTTGGGAACCACAGAGTCTGCGTTCACTTCCCCGTACGGACCAAGCGTGGACTGGTAGCTGAAAAAGCAACAGATCGCCTCCTGTGCCCTGCCAAGGTGCTTCTGAGCAAGGCACTGAACCCCTAAGTGTTCAGGTGTTCCTGTCCAAGGTAGCCCCCTCTCTCTGACATCTCTCCATTTGATGCATGTATAGGTCCTGTTTGTGCATGTGTGTGTATTTCAGGCTCGTGTGTATATATGACAACAGAGTGAAAGAAATTGAATTTCCACTGAGGGATTAATAAAGTATATCTTATTATTATTATTTGACCTACTGTAAGTAACTCACACTATGTGGACACATTAGTTATACCTAGCTCACACTCTGTGGTTCAGTTCATCCCCAAACTCAACACCAAACTCAACACCAAACCCAGAAAAATATTTCTTTGTGACTTGTTTCACTGTCGTCTCGAAGGGTCAGGCCGACCTGGACCAAACGTTAACGTTACATGTGTAACTTTTTTTAACAGGTATGTGGAGGGCAAACCCGTCCCCATACTTTTAGCCATGTAGTGTAAAATTCTGTAATATATAGGCCTAATAAAAAGTATGTCGCTTCACCTCATCAATCATGCTAACAAGCTAAATTAGCTCAGGTGTCACTTGCTAACGACAATTCTCAGGTTATGGTCAACAAAAACATAAACTCGACATGACAATTGCTATTTGCTACATTATTATGAATATAACCGAATTTAAACTACGTTTTTCACAGAGATACAACACAAATCAGGGACACATTAGCTGTAATGTCGGTTGAAAGGTGAGCTCATAAACCGATATTGACCTGTTGCCAGCCAGTCAACCAGCCTTAGCTAGCAGTGAGCTATGCTAACATTATGAAGCTAGTACTCCTTTTTCTACGTAACAAACGCTAGCAGGTTGCGCTAGTTAGCTAGACGGTTTCGCTAACACAATTAGTAACTGTCTATTGATAGCCGTTTATCGAACTAAATGTAAAAGGACGGTAATACTCACTTTGGTCTCTGCATTGTGTGTGTTGTTAAACTCCTCTCCTATGAACACAGAGCGCTTCTTCTCGATTTGAAAAATTCCCTCTGTGAAACGTTTTTCCGAGTGGCCGATATTTCAACCAATCACAGAGCAGATACGGCGGTCAGCACCGGAAGTCCCGCCTACAGCACGTCCCCCCTGTTGCGTGACTATAAATAGCCGAATTATCTTATGTAATAGATAGTATTTGTATTTGACCTGTTTTTATACCGCGGCGCATGTTTCAGAATTATTTGCTATTTCTTATTTTGTGATTTTGCTCATTATGTGGTCTAAACAAATAAACTATATTTAATTTTAGGGTGAAATAACTCAAGGTAGTCTGATATAGCAGTAGTATCCACTACATATAATGCTAGAATTTGGAAGCTATTCGGATATTTCAATTAGTCCTTGGCTATTATTTGGTTTTATCCATACATAAATATTATTTATGAATACTGGTCAAGTTGTTATGGTGTACAATAGGCAGGAATGTTATCTTATTAATTTTAATGTTTATTATTTTCATCAAATTGTACATAAAAATGAAATGGTCAGAATCAAAACCTACATTTATTCACTTATACATATACATTTTCCTGTATCACTTTAAAATGTGACACAGTTTCATGGCACAACAAAAATCAAATGTACATTTGTAATTTTAAGTATTATAATTACACAAAATTTGTTTCAGTTGTTATTACCTGACATGCTGAGGCCTCAATAGTCAAAATGTGGAACATCTCAGTTCATACTCAGTTTCTGTACCCCTACATTCACCTTTGGGGTACCCCACCTATAAATGGGTGTCTCCCACCTTATCTCTCCCCTTTTGCTGTTGTACTCCATTGGAGAGGGGCTCAAGTTATATGGTTGTAGTTGATGGAGGATTTTGTCTTTACCTTTTGCTGCCAGTTGTCAGGAATAAACAGAGATTGCCTCCACAGATATCCACAGTCTGGGCCTCTTCATATCAACACAACACAGACAACACTAGTGTCCACAGGTTCACTTTCTGTTACTATTTTTCTAAGTTCTGATACACTGACATTAGAATGACACACAGGCATGTTTTGTTGATAGTTTATTTGAAAAATCATAATAAATAACATTGCACATAAATACTTTATCTTTGGCATGTCTCACAGGGTTACAGGGACGGACACAGCAATCATATAAGGGAAATAAACTACTCTGAAAACATTTACTCTGTCTTACATATATCTTATGTAACATTAACTAAACTTTTAATTATTTAGTTGCTGCTCTGCAGGCAGCTCAAACTCAAGAGCAAAACATCTTTCTTCCCTTGTCATGACTGTCTCTTTAGTCTTGACATGTTTTATAAGAGTGACAGTAGTATACAATGGACTCTGTATAAGCACAGGCACTATAAATATGAAAAGGCACGAAGTGTTAATGCAGCACTACAATTGAAAATTGAAAGTGAAATCTGCATTTTTAAATTTACATAATTTTTGTTCTTTGCAGCTGACAGTCTCTTCATACTCCACGTGTGGAAATCAGAAAACTGAGCAAATCAGTACAGACACACAGAACTGCCTCATAATGTAGCTAACATGCTACATTCATAGCTTTTTTCAGTACGAAAGAGTTTCCTCAGAAACATTTACATTCATTACATATTATGGTAACGAGCATTTTGTTTAATGTCCATTATATGGTCATGCAACATGCAACCTGATTTTCATTTTCGCTCACATGTAACAGCAGTCGTCACAGTGATGTCTGAAGGCCGAGCACCACCTTGAGTTCAGTGCAGACTACTTGATAGCATTCAGTCTCCTTGTAATTCAGGAGGGTTCTTAAAATGTTTGAAAGATGGAATCACCTCTTATATTGATGTTGTTTTTCCTAATAATAACCGTTTTAAAGGTCTAGTGTGTAGGAGTTGGCAGAAATAGAATATAATATTAAAAACAATGTTTTTTATTAGTTTATGATCACCTGAAATTAGGAATGGATGTGTTTTTTCTTAACCTTAGAATGAGCCGTATATATCTACACGTGGAGCGGGTCCTCTTCAGAGATGTATACTAGATACCGGACGCCAAGATGGCATCTCATATTGTCAGTCATTTCAATTAAATATCACAATGTAAAATGTGTGTTTTCTCCTTTAAAAAGCAAAACCGACAAAGAGACAGCAACGCCTTAAGCGAAGATCTCGAGTGCACAGCTACTAACCAACGTGGTTTGTTTACATGTCGTTACAGAAGTGCATATTTAACAGATTCAGTGCGGACAGAGAGGTACTAGCTTGCTTTTAGGACATTGTGTTAGGCCTACATATCTGCAGAGGGAAATATTTTTACTGGACATCATGACCAAAGAGATATAAATCTATCAGACTTCAACAGATAGGTCGACCTGCCTGACCTGCGGGTCAACCCACAGGACCCACAGGCTGTAATGTTGACCTGTGCGTCACTACTGATCAACGGTCCTGGAGACCTGATCCACCTTTACAGAGTCTACCATGGTGTTCTATAGTGGCCCAGAATGGACAAATCAAACACTGGCTCTTGAGTTCTGCATCCTCACCACTAGATGCCACTAAATCCGACACACTAGACCTTTAACGGACATTAAAAAACTGAGATTCAGACCAAATGAATCTTTTTTTTAAAATTATTGTTATTTGAAATCGTTTTAACCTCAAAGAAGAAGAATTCTATGATTTAGTGTACGTCCCCACAGTGTTGCATGACAGGGGAGAATACTGTTGTAACTTGGATTTTGAATTTGTTTTCAAGTCCAAAAGAATTTAAGTGACCTCCGATCATTATTGAACCACATTGGTGAAACTGGGCTTTAAAAATATTTTCCATAATATGTTCACCTGACACCTTCTGATCCAGGTCCAACAGTGCTAACCCGACACTAACCTTCTTCTTCTACTGTGTAGTTTGAAGAACAGCTTTGTGAAAGGGACACTGCTGTTAATTCCAGCTTGTTAAAGGCATTATTGTGCACTTGACACTGAAACAGGAACCTGTTACGATTTACACTAAGCTTCCAGCTTCTTTTTCTTCTTATTGGTGATTTTTTCTAATCTTGTTGAACTGTTACTCAGAGGTATCTTTGTCTCTGTCTGCCCTTTCAATTGTCAGTCTGGTTGAACCACTTTATGGCTTTTTGTTCTCCAGTACAAACCCCCCATACAAAATAAGATCTATTTGTAAAAAGAGACTTTCTACAAAATAGGGAAGTCCTGTCAGTCATCTGACTGTTCTCAATCAAGATTTTGTGGCAGGAATTGTACATATATCACCCATAATGCCCTCTGTTCACATGTCTCCAGCATGTTAGTTGTGCTCCCTCAGCCCTGACTTATGAAGCCGGAGGTTTAGTAGCAGGGGCAGACCTTGGCTGAGGCTTTCTTTGGATCTTTATCATGTTTCTTCTCTTGGCAGACTGGAGCAGAGAGCAGAGGTAAACTGTACAGTAGGATGATAATCAGATTCACCACCACACAAAGCAGCGCTACACCCAGTGAGTTGGCAACGGTGATGGGGATGGAGTGTTCAAGGAGCCAGGGGCGCCGTGTCACCATGTCCTGCTCAGCAGCCTTCATCTGGAAGTGGGTGCCGAGGATGCCACACACATGGAAGAGTTGATGGCTGTGACCTGCAGAGGGAGCAGTCGAGTCATGTTTGAGTTCAGGCAGCACAGCGACATGTCACAGTAGAAACAGTAGCGGTAAATACAAGCCCTCACCACTGAGTGAATGAGTCACATTGCCAACTGATTTCAACAGGATGAAGAAAACATGGAGGTGGTTATGCATTAATATTGTTTCGCAATGTTAAACACAAATGAGGATACACTGAATGAGTTAATGTGAATCCAGTGTTTCACAGAGTTATTTATAGTGGACAAAGATCTGAAAGGTGACATTTGATCTCTGCGTTCATAAGCTGACTTCCTGATCAAGACACCGATTCCTCCAATACTCTAGGTGCACATGAATGCATCCTAATGGCAAACCTTTCACTGCATCCACTTTTTAGATTTGTGACTTACTTTTAAAAAACGCTTCAAGTTTAAATCACACATTTTTATGTAACCATACTGATGTAATCCCAGTCATCTTTGACTGTTGAAAGTTTCTCCCATTTTTTTCTTAAATGGCTTTGAGAACAGTTTCCTTGCATATAACGAGGGTCTGAGGTTGGTGCTGAGTCACCAGTGATGTCAAACCCTGCATTCATGTCAGAGTAGTGTCAGAGTAAAGTTAGAAATGAGTTACCTTTACCTGCTACCTTTAGTTGCTCTCTGTGTCGTGTGACCTAAATTAGCTTGAAAAGTTGTTCATTAACATTAGTAAGGTAAATAACTATTTCAGTCGTTTGAGGTGATGTACTGGTGCAGCAAGAAGTCTGGGACTTGTAATACAAAGCTTCACACCATGATCAATGCGTTGTTTAAATGCCCTGAGCAGTAAAATACAACACTTCATCTCTGTAGCATCCATGTTGCTTCCACATTACAACTCAAAGTTCACAAACACACCAAAGTCAGAAGAATGACTTGCCAACTTAGGATATGGGAACCATCCGAGGAGCATGTGAATACAGCATTAGTCTCTGTCTAACATGCTCTTCTGAATCTTGTGCGTTGCTCTGATCTCATGTTTTAAATAGTGTGATCCCCTTTGACTTCATTTGTTAAGAATTTCTGTTTTTGGATGCTTTGTTTACTGGAGGCATGAAAAAAAAAAAAAAAAGTTGAAGCCCCATTACTCCGAAAAATATCCAACTGGATTGAAAGCCCATTTCCTTGACAGCCGGTTATCCTAAAAACAAAGACCCATTGCTTCAAAGTCCTGTTCCTCCAAAAATACACACTCCTTACAGTTACTTTCAGTTTCCAAGTGGTGTTTGGGCACTTTTGTGCCACCTAATGTGGGTGTTTAAGCCAAAACATGATCTTTTCCTGATCATAACCAAGTGGTTTTTGTGCCTAAACACAACCACACATTCACCGCAGCATTGATAATAAATATAATGTGTCTGAGGTTTACAGAAATGTACAATGTTA